TTCCCTTCCTGCAGTTCTCTAATATAACTGGCTGTATAGGGAAAGGATATAGTTGACATGATTTTGTGGCAGTTAAGGGAAGAGAAGGGGTCTCAGATTCATATATATTCCTATGGATTTTAGCTGAACCCCGCTGAAAGCAGTTGGTTGGGACTGCTCCATAGTTGGTCTTTCCAGCTTTTGTGCTGACATTCACCGCTTCAGTCTTGGACCCTGGACCTTTGTCTTGGTCTAAAAGTCATCATCCTTTACCTCCGCCCCTCCCCGCCCTCTCACCCCCCATTCCATTGGCCTCTCCCAGCCCAGGCTTTCACCCTCCTATTGTCTGTGTCCATTCGTTATACTTATATGCATACAAAGGGGGAGATATGTAATAATTAGTTGTGTAAAAGTAAAAAAAAGAAAATTAAAAAAAAGAAAAGAAATTACTACTTGTCCAATACTATGCTGATTGCTGGAGGAACTAAGAAGTAAACTGTCCAAAAGGGAAGAAAAAAAACATCATTCATAGGAATCTATACATCTTTCCCGCTGCAATCTCTAGGTCCAGCATTGCTTTCATATTTTTTCCCCTTCTTATAGATACAGGAACTTCTGTGTGCCCTGAATACCAGGAACCTACTCTTGCAAGGCATGGGTTCTAGCTCAGGATCATCCATCTATCTGCCTCCCACTGGCACTTCAGTTCTGCTAGGCTTGCTCCATGTCAGCTGGTGTCATGAAGGATTTCTTCTGAGGTTTTGTAGCCCCATTGGGAGAAGGTTGCCACTTAGCCCTAATCCTTGGGCATATCCAATGCTATTTAGATGTTTGTGAAGCACCACCCCCTTAGTCTTGACTTCTAAATGTGTGCAGAAGAGAAGCATGAAATCCTTAACAGCTGCCTACCTGTTTTTCTTTTCTGACTCGTTTTTTTAAAAAAATTGTCCCAGACTGCAACAATCAGATTTTCCTCTCACTGTCCCCTCCTTTTTTTTTTTTTCCCTCCCTGAGACTCCTTCTACTATATAGTTACTGTCCTACTTCTGCCGTGGACTCTGTCCCCCTTTTAACTTCAGCCTGTCCAACAAATGGCAGTTGGGCAGGATGTAAGAAGACAGATAAGTTTATTGATAGGGATTCTAAATTGGGAGATATTTCAAATATGTAATGCTAACAT